GAAATTTTATTGTTGTATTACCATTCCTCTTGGGTATTTTTTTACTTATTGGTCTGTTACTTGTCACTTCTTGCATAAGAATTAAAATAATTAGAAGTTTATGTGTATATGTTCTATACTTGTAATTTTTTGTTGCCTAAGCAAGCACTGGTAGAGCTAGAACAGTACATGCAGGTACTGAGAAGTATCCTAGTATTCCACTGTTCTAAACCAGCCATATGAAGTACTTCTGCATGCAAACAGTAGCTGTTCAGCAATAATTCATTTTGAAAAAATAATTCAAATTGAATGTTTTAAGTTGTGATTTATTTTTGCTTTGTTTCTTCGGGGTGTTTTTCTTACTCTGAATGATAGAAGGAAGAGGAGGTGGTCTGAAGGAGGTGGTCTGAAGAGAGCAGAAAATGTCAGGCAAAAGATTTTATTTGCAAAGAAAATATTGTTCTTGAAAATAAACAGACAAATGTTTTCATAATTTCATTTTTTTCCTCATTTTTGACCCAGCCATGGATGATAATAGTAACCTAGATTCATTGTGTTATTTTGGATTCCCATAATCAACTTAGTTTGGTTTTTAAATAGCTTTAATGCATCTTATTGCATCATTGCACATTTTATTGTTATTCAGAAAGAAAAACAGTGGCCCATGAAGAAATACTGCCAGTGCAGTACTCTACCCCTCACAGGTGAGGGGCACAGTAATAGCCCCAGCTGTGCATGGTGGGGCTCATTCTGCAACCTTTGCCTCCTGCTCCCCCGACTGCGCCTTTGACAGGAGCAAGTAGATGCTCTGGAAGCTCTCCTTCTACTAGGGCTTGTGATGGAGTCCGTAACTCACCAGTTTACATTTATGGCCATATGCAACATACTAAATGCCATGAATCAGCCTGTTCAGTGTAATGCCAGCCTATGCTTATTTTGTCGAATGCAATACGGCAGGAAGGTAGCAAGCGTGGGCTTCGGCGCTGCTCTCTTCAGTGATGGGACTCAGGGTAGGGTGAGTCCTGTGCTGCATCTGCTCCTCTTTCCTGTTTTGCTTGAAGTAAGTGTCCCAGGTACTCTCAAGTGCTCAAAATCTCTGAAACTATTAGGTTTCTGAAAGAGAAAAGTAATAGCCATAATAATAGCCAACATAACTGCCAGTAAGAGGGGCGAGTAATATAAACTAATTAAAAGGGCTTCACAAGAAGCCTGCCCCCTCCCCTTGCTTTCTGAATGGGTGACTCCTTTCTTCTAATAGTGCCCTGCCTGCCAGCACCTGGGTCTCCAGACCACAAAAGGAAACTCCTGTTTCCCTCTTATTCCTAGAAAAGTCCTCTGCTCTCCATCACCTCTGAGGTTTCATTGTTGGTTGGCTATCTGGGGTAGGCATGTCCTTCACTCTCTTCTGTTCTCTTCTTGCCTGGTCTTCTCTGTGCTCCAGCAGCTTTCCCCAGTTTAAGTGCTCTTTGTCCATGTCCCAAGCAAGATGAACTCCCTCTCCTTTGAGCTCCTCACTGAGCGGGTTGCAGCAGCCAAGGTGAGGAAGACAGGGAGCCTTGCTCGAGGTTAAGAGGGAGAGGAAGGTATTGTCTGCAGTATGTGTCCACCAAACTGGAGATAATTTAGAGTTAATTACTATACCCTGCTCCACCTTTTGAAGTTAGTCCACAGTGGCATCTCTTGCAGTATGATGTCTCTGACTTAGTTCCCTGAATTTTCACTCCTATCTGTACTGTATTAATACAGGAGGAAAGTGGCACTGACTGAATCAGTGAAAATTTGGTATTAACCACTATGAATAATCTAACACTAATCTCCTTTAATGAGACAGATAGACTTTTTTTTTTTTTTTTTTTTTTTTTTTTTAATGTGGTAGTGAAAAAACATAGGGGAAACCCCAGGTAGTTATATCTTCCCCTTACCACAAAAAGAAACAAAATAGTACGAATTTTTAAAGCAATATGACAGATCCTTGGTATCTGCTAAACTAATCCTTATAAAGCGGGAAGTGTTTGTTTACAAGCTTATTTTAAATTGAAGATTGGTAGTTAATTATGTACCATTAAGGGAACAAATAAGACTGAATTGTTCTAGTATTTAACTAGTGATTTCCGATGCCTAACTGTAAATAGAGAATTTCCAGCTGCCTTAACTCTTGTGAAAACAAATGAGAAATAGTTGTATGAACACTTTCCTACAGAGTTTAAATTTTTTTCCAGGAAGAAACAGTAGGTTTTTGTCAAGAGTCATCAGCATATAGAAGTACACAAACAAACCACTCTCTTCTCTTCTGGGTGAGCTGTGGGCTCCTCAGAAGGTTTGGTTTTGCCTTCAGATTAAAATCTCAAGAATGTTGCAAGTGAGAAAGGTGATCCATCTTTTCCTTATCAGACAGGACAGGTCTGCTTGTAGTCGCTAAATCCTGAAAAAGGAACTTCTGTTTTTTCAAGATCACACTGATTGATCTCAAATGTATCTTGTAGTTTGTACACTTGCTTTAGACTTTACATGTTCTACGTTTAGTTGAGAAATGTGGGCCTTTTTGAAAGTATCTCCCTGGCTGGCTGTCTCAAATGACTCTTTATTGAAATGTATGTATGTTTTAATTGTTCATTACTGCTTTTTAAGGTACAAAATAAAAACTGCTATACTGTAGTTAGTGAACTTAAAAACCATGTGCTCCAAACTTTTCGCTAATTTTTTTTTTCTACAGTTTAGATAAGTTTTTTAAAGTGCATGGTAATGTTTAAGGCTATTTGGTGCAGGGAACCCATGTATGTGATTCTAGCTGGCTACGCAAATCCCCTAGTGAGCCATAGTAATATGAAAGGAACACTTGAAAGCCAGATGCAATGAAAATGTAAACATACTGAGTTCATAGCATGTGATAGTTTAATCATTATTTAAGCTTTAGAAATGTCACAGCATAATTACTTTCAGAACAAGTACAAACACTTTCATGCACAAAAATTGCTTTCTGCCTGCAACTTTTGCCCCTCCTGGGAAAGTTACACTTTTTTGAATTCTCTGAACTTAATCATGTCATTTGTCAATCACAGGCAAATTCTCACTGAAAATTCAAAATCCAAAAGATTAAATCAAAGTCTACAGATAATATTTTAAAACTAAGCCTGTATTTTCTTTATGCTTTTTCAAGAAATCTGTGAAAATACTTCTTTCATTAAAGAACAAAATTTGCAACAAAACTAGTTAAATGGAAAATGCTTAGTAAACCCTATTTGCAGAGTCAGGGAACAGAAAGCTACAAATTTTGGATTTATAAGCACCCATTCAGTATTAAATTCAGCTCCCCTATGCATGAGATATATTTTTAATAACCTCACAGCATACATGGAACCCTGCTTCCTTCTGTACTTGTAAGGAAAATACAAGGACCAGAATTTTCTTCTAAATTTGTCCTATATCTGGAATATTCTGATGAATGTAATTGACTTTGCAGTATAAATTATGTTGGTATGTAAAATACTGTCATAATTCAAGTGTACGCTTTGATGTGAACTGTACATAGGAGTGGTTTGGGATGGATTTGGGAAAATATCGATTATAATGGTTCTGCCATTTTTGAGAAACAGGCTAGGGGAAAAAATATTTTCCATGTTAATTAGTGGGTGGGGTTGTTTGCACGTTTTCTAAGTAGAAATCTTTTTGTAGCAGCTGTACATCGTGTAGCAAAGACTTAAAGATCATAAAATTTGGCCTTTGTATCAGGAATGTGCTGGGAGTTATTTCTCATAAAATTCATTGGAATTTTGCCATTGTGAGTCTTCTTAAAACTGAAATTTTTGCATGTTCCCTAGGAACAAAATCAACATAATCATTTCACATCCCTTAAGCTTTGTGTCACCTTCTATGCTCTCATGAGCTTGTTAGTGCTAAGCAGAAGATGAACCTATCATCCCCCTGGAGCTGCGGAATATGGTATAGATGATAGCTGGTGAGTGGAAGGTAGACTTCCTTGTAACTCATGCAGTGGCCAAGGTATAACCCTCTTCTGTCCTCTTATATCTCACTTGCTGGGCCTGGACACCATGGAAGGTGAGCAAGTTTATTGAAAATTAGAAGAGACTAAGATCAGTGAAGACATAAGGAAGGATTAGGTGGGTGTTCTTTAATGTAGCTCTTCGTGTTTGGAGACAGAATTGAGTTCACCATTAAAAGTGGTTGTAGGAGGTCATGTCTAAACCAAGCGCACTGTAGGAAAAGTCATGCCCTGTCTGATATATGCTCTCGGAGCAAAAACTGGGGAATTTGCTATGGATACGTGATAAGCTAAATCACTTGTACATGAACCTAATGAATACTAGAACATGTTTTAGTTTCACAGAACAACTAAATAACTGTGAAAAGTGTCACTGTTCATGCTCCCGACATGCTCTTCAGTCTGGCAGTCCCAATTTAAGCTCACTGCCTGCACTTGGCTCTCCTGCCGTGCAGTGCTGTGATGGGGAAGATAAGATAGGCTGACAAAACAGTCATCAAAGATTCACTGAGATCAGGGTGAGTCCTACGTGATGAGAGCAGCTATTAATATTTTAAAGGCTGCCATCCATCCCTACGGGCACCAAAGTATTACATCACCATGTGCATAGGACAGAGTGGCAGTGATCAATAGATCTAATGTGCTGGGGGCCCAGGGAGGGACAACATAGCATGTCCCATGCAGAATGACTTGGATATAATTAAGTGAAATCAACAAGGCATATCCTTAGAAAAAAACTCATCAACTATTCTGAACTGAAAACCAAGACTTCTTTATCAGATAGTACGGTCAGGTTTGTTTAGGCTTAGAATTTCTTCACCAGTCAAAACCATAACGTTTTTTGAGAGAAAGCAATGTGGTCTGTAGCTTGAACACAATAATAATGATGGTAAAGAAAACAATTTAATGTATGTGATTTTTTTTACTGAAGAGCCAAACTGTAAAAAGCTGAAGCCACAGATAATACAGGTATGCTCTTTCACCGAGACTTTCTGACTGCTCTCAAATTTTGTCCCCACAGGGCCCAGCCTCCTCTCCCAGAGTGCGCTCCAGCTCAATTCCAAACCTGAAGGGTCCTTCCAGTACTCAGCCAGCTACCACAGCAACCAGACCCTCGCCTTGGGCGAAACAGCGGCTGCCCAGCTCCCAGCCCGCAGCAGCCAGGCCAGAGGTGCCATCCAGAGCTACAGCCAGGTATGTGTCCAAGGCAGCCTGGGTCTCTTGCACCTGAAATCTTGTGGGGTAGCTCCCAGGAAACAGAGCTGTTTGGTGCCTGCTGGCAAGTGAATGTCTGCCTTTACTTTTTGTCCTTTTCAGCACATCTGCAGCAGGATGGAGTTACCACCTGGATTTTCGTAAATCTAAAGCAGGTTGACTTGCATAGTAATAAAATAATCCTGATTAAAAAGGAGATTTATGTGCCAGTTTTACTTACTCGCATATATATATATTTTGGTGATAGCAGGTTTAGGCATTTAAGTTTGAAAATTTCTGTGACTGTGTTGATTAGGAGCCCTAACTAAGGTCTTGGACTTCCCTGAGTTGTTATCAGGGTATTACTGAAAGCAATAGGTGCCAGCAAACAAAAACAAAGCCAGGCTGACACGAGATGAGAAACCTGCTTGGGATGCCATACATTGCCTGGTGCCGTGGCCTAATCCCAGGTGTAAGAATCATTTTTGCCTTTTTTCCCCCATATTGAAAGACAAATAACTTATTAGACAGCAGCCTGTACATTACAAGCATTTTGAAAGATTGTTTCAGATACTTATGAAAACTTTATAAATTTCTCTTCCTGTCTAAATGATCCCTCCCAGCTCTGACACGTAACCCTCTCACCTTCTGTGCTTTTCTCTTCAACATCAAAGCCTCTCACTGGGAAGTTAAGCTTCGGTTTGGACAAAAAATTCTAGAAGAATTCATATTTCTGTACATAAACAAAGTCTGCCTGGGTTTCATTGGTCAGCTCAGGTTATTTTCTGTGTTTAGATGTTAACTGCCCCAGCAAAGCAGACCATCTCAGTGTGACACTGAGACACTTTATAATTCAGGTTTCTATAGAAGTGTGTAGTATTTGAATTTCAAAGCCTTAAATTGCTAAGAGATTTCAAGTATTATATAGTCATTGCACAGCTTGTGGGATACTGAGAGACATACAATATTATATCCTCTCAATTTGCTCAGAAAAGCTCCCTGTCCTCAAAGACTGAAAAATGAAATAAAGCACAGATAAATTTCATTTCAAAATGGGTAGGTACTTTTTTTTTTTTTTTTTTTTCTATAAAGGGTTTAAAATGAGCCTGCATAGTGGTAAAGCCTCAGGGTTTTTCCATGTTTACCAAGAGGACCTCCCTGATATTCTTTGGGATTTGAGCCAGCAGGAGAGCAGGACTCCAGTTAGAAAGAAAAAGGAGGCTATAATATCCAGTTGTAGCCTGAGCAGATGTCATCAGGATTTGTGCTTTGTGAAAAGCATTGTACCCTTGGGGGTTAGCCTGAAAGGGTGTGATACATTCTTCAAGGAGGCTACAAAAATTAAGATGATGAAAAAGGAACAGGTTATGAGAGCAACAAAGCAACAGAAACAAAAGCAAACAAGAAATGAGAGGGAAAGGAGAATGATTTAAAAAAAAAAAAAAAAAAGAAAAAGGAAAGTGCAATTATCTAGGGGTTAAAAGGAGTGATATTCTAAATTTAAATTTTCTCATACTCACTGATAGAAAAGGATCAATTCATGGAGGGGGGAAAAATTAAGGCAGCTCTTCCTATCCTTTTTTTTTCTTGGTGTGAGAGGGCAGAAAATAGGTTTTCTTTCTGTGTTCCTCCAAACTGTGTGGTAGACATTCCTGCAGGAAAATAACTCAAAGAACATCATAATTTTTCACACTATCATCCTGCAAAGGATGCTTGACAGCTTCACATCAATTAAAACATGTCTTGAAAGTATTAACAAACTGACATATAAATTATGAATTAATATTGTAAAAAGCATATAAAGGGGGTTTTAAAACAGGTAAACAAGAAGGAGGCAAAAGTTAAAAAGTTCTGAATATGACCATTGCTGATCTCACAATTAGGGGAGAAAAAAAGCCAATCCTTGGAATTGTTTTGCTATCCCTATTATAATTAAAATAAGCCTCAGGAGTCAAAACTGCTCAGATCGTGATAATTTCCTTTGGTATTTGTGCGCAAGGAATATAGCTATCTCTTAACATGAATGATAGCCCAAATGCATGAAAAAATATGTAAATAGTCCCAAGGCCAGCTGTGACAGCAAGAACAATTTCTGAAAATGCAATTGTATAAAAAAGAGAAACTAATTAGTCTTGGGACTTCCTGTATAGTGCTGCAAAGTGCAATCTGACATTTTTGTCAATTTGGAGGACTTCATTATAGATGATAGTTTTTCCACTGCTTTGAGTACTTTAGAACACAAAACTTTTTGTCTTCTAAATGCTACTGGAATAGGATTTCTTAGCAACTGCTGCTCTGGCAGGGAATTACTCTGTTTCACCACTGAAAATGGCTTTTCAGGCTTGGTGTCCAGATTCTGATTTATCCTTTAGTAATCGATTAAGGGTTATTTGTGAAGAGTCAGTAGTGGTTTTTATTACAAAAAGTAGTAGATTTTGCGGATGAGTTGCTCACAATTGAATCTTCTATAAGGACAATGTAATTTGTGACCAACTGATTGATTGCATTTACTGTCATCTTGAGAATGGTCATCGTATGTTGTAGTTATCATAGGAATATAAAGCATAGCATGAACTACAAATAGTGGTTTTCCCTGTGCTCTGCCATGTATTTGCAAGGGGAGGGGAAAGGAAGTGAAACTAGTTTACATTTCTGGATGAGGACTTTTTTAGCTTATGGTGATGCTGCGTTCTTTTCAGAGGCTGAGGCAGCAACAGAGGTAAATCCCTACTGCATATTATGCTATGCTCCAGAAGCTTCTGCACTGAACAAGCTAGCACAGAATTTGAAAACCCTTAAAAACAAAAACTAGCTGGAAAATAAGGTGATTAAAAAAATTTTTAAAAAAGGCAGCTTTGAAAAATCATTTAGCAGTTCATTTTCTAACTTGTCTTCTTTTTCCTATAAAAAAGTCTTAAGTTTGTCATTAATCAGACCACCACACCTCACTACCCCTATTTAGAATACTAGCAAGTGAGTACAAGAATGTGTTCGGTTGTCAAGCAAAAACTGTATACCGGCCTTTTTTCAGTTAGACTTATGGCTCTTCCTACTGTCAGTCTTCTCTACCACAAGGTGATAGGCTGCTTGATAATCTACCCAGACAAAATCTAAAATAAGGACTTCACTTCTGATAGGATGTGGCAGATGATGATGTGTTTAAAACAGGATTCCAAATATGAACATAAGAATTTTTCTGTCATTTAAAGGAGGCAGATGAAATTTTCAAACAGATTCCTCTTATTACGACACTCACAGAGAACAGTTTACTAGTATAGATTCTGATAGCAAAGAACTGATCTGCATAATGCTGGTTTGATCCTACAGTAGGTAATGACTGCAGCTTTCATTGCTGCTTTACAACCAAAGATTAACCATCTTTGGACACTGAAAGAATTGCACACAATTCTGTTTGTGGATGTAGAAGATTACAATGGTATTACCTACTTGCATATATACGTATGACCTTTGAGATTAGGATCAGGTAGGCTGACAAGTTTTCCTAATAGTGTTGGGGTGTATTTTGCAAACACAGGACAGCCATGACTTTATGATAAAATCAAGCGAAACCGATGGAATAGGCCACATTTGAGGCATCCGGAGGTGCAGTCTGGTATCTGTTACCATGTAAGTGCGTTTGAACATAGGTAGCATCTTCCTAGTTAGGTTAGGAATTTACAAATGACAGCAGACTAGAGAATGTTAAGCATTTTCCATACCCTCTTCTGCCCTTTGTAGAAGAGTGCTGATAGAGGCATTGGACCAGAGCAGAGCGATAGCTCAAGTGAACCCATATGGAACGTTCTTTGGGCTGACAGGAAAAAAATAGCCCTCAACAGACTGGCAAATCTTGCAGTCACTGAAAGAGCACAGAGCACCACTGAGATTGTGAAACAGAGCTGGATCCTTAAAGGACCACCCATGTTTCTCAAAAACCCTAGTAAGGATGATCAGGTTTGCTGCCTAAAGCTAGCAACACCCACCAATATTCAAGAAGCCAAAGCAGCCTGGAGGGATGTCTTCCACGCAACTTGAGCATCCAATTGGAAAATCCTCCCTAGAATCAAGAGAAAGGGTCTTCTTATGGCCAGCAGTGAACTGCATGTGACTATGTTTATATTCATCAGATATGACCTTCCGTGAGATGTTAAGGGCCAAGAGATCACTGAATGTTCCAAAGAGCAAAACAAGCTGAAAACTGGTGCTGGCATTTGATGCTAAACTAAAGATGCTTGTTTGTCCAGACCTAAGATGGGCATGCAGACTTACTCAAATGTAACTTTTCGGTTTCTACTGTTATGTCAGAGAAGTATACAGAACATTGAGCGCAAATTGTCATTTCTTAAGGGTAATTGGTACCATGATTCAATTTTTCCAGCATTTTCCTGGAAATTGTATCATTATCTTATTCCCAAGAAATTACTATTCTGGTTTTAGTTCAGTTTCTAACAGGTGGTTGCATTGACAAAGTTCTGGTCCTTAGCACCTGTGAATTATGGAGCATAGGTGCACAAAACCTACCAGGTCTTGGGTTTGTGTTTTGGCATGCCTAATAAGAAAATAGTTTGAAGGGATTTTAGATTATATGCCAAATAGATCTGCTGCACCTGCTAACGTATTCATAATGGTCATGTTGTTCTCTGAGACTTTTGCTATCCAGGTTTTGCTGGTGTTACACAGTTTTTTCCTCTGGGAGCTACCGCCAAGAATCAACATGCTGATTCCTCAGTAATTAGCAGCTGACCCTAAAGTATTGCTTAAGCTGCCTAGCCATCTAGGATTTTGTAATTCCTTAGCCATGAAAAATTTTTGGCAGAATAAATAATTCAGCACAGTTATTTGCACCTGTTAATTCCACTTAATAAAACAGAAATCTTGTATTGTAGCCTTTCATTTAATCTTTTTTGGTTAAAGTACTCATTTAAATTTTCAATTGGAATTATTTAAAAAAAAACCACCAAAAAAAGCTGACGCTGATGTCCTGAAATTTAGTGCATTAAATTGCATGAATATGGCAAGCAAACAACAGTTAGACTGTTCTCTAGTCTACTGTAACCTAACTGGAAACCCTCAGTAATTTTCTGTATAGAGCTCTGCAGATCTCGTTTTGTCCGTATCAGTAGAGAATGATCTTTCTGATAAGATTAAATGGAAAAAAAAAGAATATTTTCATAGCTGTATTAATGTTCTCATGTTTTTTCACACATTTCTGCTGTT